CCTCCTGCAGAGATTCTGCTTTTAGAGCAGATGTTGGACTTGTGGATTCTGCTGATTTGTCACTCTCTTGTTTCGTTATGCTCCCATCTTGGTTGTTAACGGTTACAGGAGCCTGGACCTGCTGTTTACTAACATCATTATCAGCATTTGCAGTTGATGCAACTTTGACTTCAGTCTTTTCATTGGCACCTTCAGAGCCACCTGAGGTCAGTTCTTGGGTTGCGTCTGTATTTGGGATCTCTGTTGTTTTAACCTGAACTTCTGCTCCGACCGTCTCTGGTTTCTGTTCAGATTCATAAAGTTTAGATTCGGTCAGTTCCTCTTTGTTGTCAACTTCAACCTTTACAGACTTCAGGTCCTGTTGGATTCCAGCATCACTGTTAGTACCCAAAGTTCTTGGCTTGTTCACCAAGCTTTCTGCTGATGAATCCTTGGTCTCATTCTTGTCTTTAGGTTCCACACAGACAGCCTTTAGGTCTTGAATCTGGATTTCTGCCTGCACGACAGACTCTGGTTGTACTATTCCCACTCGCTTTTTCAGACCAGATTTTAGACCAGATTTGTTACCATCCTTGTTTTCTGTCTTTTCTTTGGTTTTTGAACCTGTTGATTGGTTAATCTCTGGTTTGGTAACATTTCCATCTTGGTCAGTCTGTTGTTTGCTAACACTATTAGCATTCATATTAGCATTCATATCGCCCATCTCCTTTTTCAGGCTTTCTACTGATGAATCACTGACTTCTGTCTTTTCTCTGGTACCTTCTGTACTAGTGTTTACTGAGATCAGTTCTTGAACTATCACCTTTTCTTGGCTCTCCAATGTCTTCTCTTGAAGTGATTTTTCTTGGGCTGGTTTTGTTATACTTTCACCTCGAAGTTCAACTTCATTATCTGCAGTCACTGCATCATTCCCCAGACTGTCCACTGACAGGTCACTGGTTTTGGTTTTTTCTTTGGTGTCTTCAGTACTTAGAGAAGTCTGGTCTTGAATAACATCCATATTCCGGCTCTTCAGCATCTTCTCCTGACCTCCAGTTTTTACCATTTCTGGTTTCTGGTCTAATTTATCATCTGGATCTTTGACTGGTTTTGTTGTGTCCTTATCCAGGTCTCCAACAATTATGGACTTTTGGTCTTCCTGGATGTTAGATTTAATATCAGCATTCACAGCTTCAGTCACACTCACCAAGCTATGCATTGACAAATCCTCTGTAGCTTCAGTGCTGGCAGCTTTTACTTCTTTAGTTGTATCTGATTTTAAAATATGTTTTTCTGATGTCTTCTTTGAGGCTTTCACCTCTGCAAGGTCCTGATTTAGATTAGCCTTTATTGTAATGTCCTCACCTTGGTCTTTAGCAGCGGCCGCCTTCTTGTTTTCTTGAGCCACGTTCAATAAAGTCTTCTTTTCTTTATCAGCTTCAGCATCGAACATGTTCATGTCTTTTACTTCTGGAGTTCGTTTTCCTTTTACATCTCTGTCATGTTTGTCGTCCAGACTTGTGTCTTCACCTCCGACTTCCTCATTTTTTGTCAGAAGCAGTTTGGATTCATTTTTCACTTCTGATGCTTTTGTTTTCTCACCGCTGCTCTCTGTGTTTTCTTTCAAAGACATCTCAGGCTGCTGTTTTGTAGTTTCATGGAGTATTGCTCGCTCCTCCCTCGTTTGTTCTTTCAGAGCGTTTGTAATCCCTGTGTGTGTTTCTTCCTTGGATTCAGCTGATAAACCTCTGTCCTCTGATGACAGATGTGCTGATTTCTCTGAATTTCTTATGGCTCTCTCTGCGGTTATGCCCTTGAGCGCCTCTTTGCAACTATTCTGTGACTCAGTGCTTTCCACTGCTGTGTCACTGAGCGTTTCATTTGGTTTTGAGCCTTTCCCTTCAGATCCTCCTGCGAGTAAAAGAGCCTCTTTGTGCAACTGATTTTCAACATTCTTGGACAATTCACCAACAGTCACAGCCTCTGTTTGAATGCCCAACCTCTCTGCTGGTTTCCTGCCACCCTCCTCTTTGCTTTTCTCCTCTACTTCAACATCTTTTGCTAAGGCCCTGTTTAATGTCAGGGACGTGTCCCTATTGTTTGTTAATTGATCCTCCGTTGATAAAGCCTTTTGCTGCTCTGTATTGGCTGGTTTAGACTGATCTGAGTCATCCTTTGACATCAGTTTAGCAGGAAAACTGCTGCCGTTTATGTTTTGCTTGGAAGTGAATGCTTTTATTTTATTACCAGGAATACGTCCACGTATCTCCCTTTGAACGCTGTCACCCTCAGCGGGTTTGCTTAGCATGTCAGCTTCATCCTCAGGAGCTTGTTTTGTGTCGTGAGTTCGTGGTGCCGTGTTTTTATTCATGTTTCCTGTTAGCTTCAGTGTTTTCAGTGACGGGGATTTCGGTTCTCGTGTTGTGTTTTTATTTTGAATAACAGACACGTTTTCCGCTCGACTTCCATCAGTAACTTGAGACTGAATTGCTTTGTCGATCTCGCAGCTCAACTGCACCTCGGCTCCTGTGTCCGGAGCACTTTCTGTAATAACTGCGTCGCTGTTTTGCAACCGCTGGATGTTTGAAATGTCTTCAGTTGCTGTACTGGTTCCGATCTCTTTTTCTTTCACTTTGGTTTCATCGGTGTGTTTTATAATACATTCCTCTCCCTCCGACTTGAATTTAAATACGTCTTTACTGTCACGCTCATTCGCCGTGACGCTTTCAGGTGCTTTTACATCCGTCTCTGTCGATGTGTTGTGATTTGAGTCCTCAGAATTCCCACTTTGGGAACGTTGTCTGGGTTTTAGTTTATTGGAGCTTCTCTGGCCTCTTGTGGGAAGTTTGCTCACAGACGACGAAGTCTCAGGGGAATCTTTTGCAGGCATTTTTTGGTGCTGTTTGATGTTTTCGTTCCATTTAAAGATCCTTGATGAGACGGTTTTCTCTTGTTTGGTGGGAGGTGGAGAGATGTTGGAGGTCGGAGTATCGCTCTCACCATGGATTCTTTTAGAAAAGGTTTTGGGTGGTTTCACTGGTGGGACATTTCCTGCTGGGAAAAACAAAAAACACAGACAGACAGGAAATTATGGATCTTATGATGGAGCAGAGACACCGCCAAAATAAAAAATAAACAGGTTAAAATATTAGGAGTAAATACCAGTAACTGTATCAGAGCTTTACGGTGATATTTTTAACACAAAAATAACTTTGTAATTTCAGGAACAGGTGGGACAGGATAATGGAAAACTGTGTGTAATACATGCATGTCTATTATTAACTTTATATGTTTTATTTGATTGCATTTTATTGGCAAACATCTGCAAACCAGATGTTTGTCCCGATCCAACAGATGAAAAACAGTCTGTATTTTCATCAAGATCTCTGTATGAAACCCCGCTTGTTCATTTTAGTTGCCCCTGGGTTTCATATGTCCTCCTTCACCGCCCCTCATGTCGCCTGGTCCGACATGCTGTATTCGAGCTTTCTTACCTTTCTTTGGACTTTCGGGTAGCGGTGGCGGCGTCTCACTCCCAGGACTCTCGTCAGCTGTTGCATCTTTCTGCTCTCGACTTGTCTTCTGGACTGTTTTAGGTCTGTCCGAGTCCATCTGACCCGATGAAACCCTTCTATGGGTTATATCAACCTTCTTTCTCGTCGGAGATGAAACGGGCAGCCGGCTCTCCACATCGTTCTGCTGCTGTGTTTTTTTGACGTCCGGACTTTCCCCGTGTGGTGGGTGTCCACTTTTACCGCTTCTCTCCTCATTTTCCACGTCATTTAGCAAGTTCACAGACTCAAAGTCCTCATCTGATTTGTCCTTACTGAGTTTTGTTCCGGTCCTAGTTTTCGTGGGAGAAATGTTCCCCGACACCGATTTTCCTCCTTTGGTTTCCTCAAAGCTTGGTTTCCTTCCAGGTCTGGCTGCAGTTGTTGGAGATTTCAGAGTCTCTTTGGTCCTAGGTTGTTTTTGTAGTTTGGGCCCTGAGGTGTCCGGCGCCGATGTCTTATCTGGTGTCACTGGCGATTTCACGTCTGCGTCTGATGTTGATCTTTTGGGGATTTTAGACTTTGAACCCGCAGCACCGGAGGGAGCGCGGGTTTGGTCTTTTAATGCTGGCAACATAACAACCGCTCTGTCTCTTTGTGTTGAATTATCACTGGAAGTTTCCACTTTTGTGCCCTCTGTGGAGCCCTTTGCCTTTGTTGGGACATTCTTGGCCTTGTTTCCAGCTGCAGAGGTCGGGGTCTTTGTTCCACTCGCCGTGGTATGCCGGCTTTCTGCTGCTCCTATAACTCCTCGTTTCTGGGCTGCAGCCTGGTCGGCTGCTTGGCCTCTCGCCGCTGCTTCTGCAGCTGCTGGCTTCTTTTTGTACATGTCTGATGCTGCAGAAGTGTCATCGAAGTCTGAGGCCTCCAAGTCTGTTTTACCTTTAACTATGGCTTCCGGAGTAATTGCCTCAGAGGGTGAAGACTCGTCTTCTCGTGTGGGCCAATCGAGGGTTGTGTCCTTAAAATCAGCATCGTTGTTGTTTTGGAGGATCAGCCATCTGTCAGAAAACACAGAAAACATTTAATGACAGCTGTAGACACACTTTATGTATCCACACAAGTAGATAGATCCTACGCTGTGAAAACCACCGAGTGTTATAGCAAATTAGATTCTGGCTTTGTAATACTTTGTTGCATAAATGATTAAAAAGAAAAAAATGTTTGAAAAATAATTAAATGCAGCATATTTAGACCATCAGTTGTGCCTTTGGAGGCCATTAAGATAAATTTATGGCTAAAAATCCAGAGAAGGAAAAAATATCCTGGATATTACAGCCCCCCGGTGAAGTCACTGTTACAACTTGAATCCTCAGGGTCCTCAGACAGCTAATGCTAGCACTATTACAGTGAAGCACGAGTCCAAAGAAGAGTTTACTGCCAAATCCACAGATCCAACGAGCTGCTGACGCAACAGACATGAGAAAGAACAAAGCAGCCATGAAGCAGAGAAAAGAAAAAGAGCAAAAATTACAGCAACACAAGACGAGGACAAAGGAAGACCTGGAGCTAAGCTCACAAGCCCTTCTCCCCTCCCAGAGTGGGTAAATCCACCTGACTGTCCAATACATGGATGGAATTTCTAAGCCTCTGCCTGACTGAGCTTCCACTTTTAAGACAGCAAATAAGAAAACTACTTTTAAAACTCTGTGTTGTCCTTAAAATTATAAATCAGACGCTTAGCAGGGAGATTTCGTCCGAACATCAGAGCAGCAGCTGTAAATGCCAAATGTTTTCCTCAGTTTACACCTGCACAACACGACCAAAGGGAAAAACTGCATCTGTGAGTCTTCATGTGAAAGGTCACATGTTGTAGTGTTTTCTGACCTGATTAAGTTCAAATATCGCTCAAACATTTTGTGTCTCTTTTCTAATCATGCCATAAAAATGCTTCACACATGCAGTTTCCACTGTTCTCCTGCACGATGACGGTAAACCTGGATGAACTGTGCCGTCTGTAAAACCACCTGCAGAATCAACCGTGTGTAGAAACTTTAAGCACTCCTCCCGAGGCTGAGCGTTTCCACGGCATCCTGAGGTCAAACATGAGACCTGCTGGTTGTAATGACTAACTGGAGGTAGTGAACGAACACCAAAGGTTAACACAGAACAGCTGACCTACATTTGATAAATCCAGTAAAGTGTCAGAAGCTTAAAGAAGGTGTTTCTGAGTGGCTGGATGTTGGGTGGATGAATATTTCAGCGCCTCCCTGCAGGTTTTAGCCCCATTGTTCAGCCCTGGCACAAAGCACCATGGGAACTCGGAGCTCGGGTTGCATGCAGGCTGAGCTCTGTTTCTCTGGATCAAAGAGGCTGTAAAAGCAGAGGAAAATGAAAACAGACAGACACTCACGGTTTCGCCTCTGTTGTGTTTGAGCTCTTTGAAGTTGAGCCTTCGTCCACACTTGGCTTGGGGCCGGTGTGCACCTCGGCAACAGCTTTGCTCTTCGAAGGCAGACTCACAGTCCTGCGTGTGACCCGGCTTGATCTTGTCCGGTGTCGCTCCTGAACCGGAGGAGAACTCCTTGTTGAGTCTGTGTCCGGCCCCTCCGGCTGCTCCGTGGGGGTCTGAACCTCCCCCACAGTCTGTGACAGGGAGAAGAGTGAATGTGGCAGGCTGCCACTGAGCGGAGGAGTCTCTGAGGGGGTGGGAGGGCTCTCTGGTGCTCCCTCATTCTCTGAGTCGTCCTCTGGAATTACTGTGGCAGGTACGGCCAAATGAGGAGGCGAGTCTGCTCTAAAGCCCTCCTCCTTTTTCATTACATCCCTTTCTTTCTCCCACTCCACCTCCTCCTCTCCCAGGTGTGTCTCCACCCATATGGCTTTGTGGAACAAGACAGGAGACTTGCCTCGGGGTTTTTCCTCTCTCGTGGTTGCACTTTCCCCCGACAGGCTGCTGGTGGATATTCGAGTGCTCGTCCTGGGTCCTCCTGAGTTTTCCCTCTTCCAGTCCGGAGGCTTTCCCTCCTGTTTGAACAAAGTTATTCCTCTCAGCGCCGTGCTGTGGCCCTTCTCTCCAACCTTCACCGATGCTTTCTTTGATGCTAAGCTTATGGAGGTTAGGTTAGGAGACTTTGGGGACTCCACAGCCTTGGAAAGTGGGATCTGAAGTGACGTCAGTGTGGTCGGGCTGATGATATCATCCTCACTGCTGCTCTCTGGTCTCTTCAGTACTTTTTGTTCCAAATTCACCTGCAGCCGTTTGCTCACTTCCTCCACCACGGATTCAGCGAAGCCCACTTCTGACTTCAAACCGGGATCTGGATCTGGCTCGGTGGCAGATGCAGGGTCTGTGGAAGTCATGATTGCATCCAGCTCCTTCACGCTGCTTCTCCCGGTGCTGTTACTGTCTGCAAACGGCAAGTCCGCCTCTACTGTGACCTGCGAGGCCCTGCTGGAGGCACTCCGGCTGGAGCTCTGGCTCACAGTGTCGCTGTGCTCAGCATTTAACCCATTTTCTGGCTCAGATTGGGCCGAACATGGAGACAAGGGGGATGCCGGGGAGCTGTCGGTGGAGGTGCTCGAATGATTCCGGCTGCTGCTCTTCTTCCTCTTGGAGCTGAAGAAGTTGGTGAAACGGACGAACACTGATTTCTTCTCCTCCGAACTCTAAAAAGAAAAGAGGACAGGCAGGAAAGATGAACACTGAGATGTAAGACTGCATTAAGAATGAAATGTGCACAAAAACAACCTGGTGTACTTCCTCTGAGGTTGAGCTGCATTGTGCGCTCTGCCTGTCCTGGACTCCTTGAAACACAAATACAGTCTGGGCCTAAAGTTATCCCACCACCATCACCTCATTTTTCCTTTTCATCTATTTTTATACATTTGAATCATTTTTGAAGTTCAAGGAAATCCCCTGAAAACAGATCCTGTTATATAATCAGAGCCAAGAACAAGAAAGAAGAGTCTGCAGGTTATTTGGCTCCAAGTAAAAACTGAAGCTTTAAATGTTTGTCGATCCTCGTCAGGCAAACTGAGAAGATGAGAAGGAGCGAGTGTTTGTCAGAAGCTCCAACTAATCCAAATCACTGCTGAGCAGCAGGAACTGCAACATGGCAGCCAGAGAGGAGGCGGCGACGGGGAAACATCATCAAAAACAAACAGCAGCCATTCATTGGAAATAAATGTAAAGCAACTGTCGCAGCAGGATTAACAGTAACAGACTGAGTTTGATATTTCTGCAGAAGCACTGAACAGATAATTACGCTCTGAGCTTTTGACTTTCTCTACATGATTACATGCAATTAGACTTTAAATGTATTTCTGTATTTTTTCCCTGTGAGAAGACTGATGGATGTGTTTGTTCATACGGTGTGTTTATAAAAATCAAACAGCCGATTCTTTCATCCTGATGCTTTAATAAGTGAAAATCAGACTCGGATTCATCTCTCAGTCGAGCTGAGACGAGACGAGCCGGCTTTTCTGTAGAAATGAAAACTGGCAGGTGCCTTCATCGACATGCCTTTGAGTCACAGACGAGAATACCTGAAAGATTTTCTAGATAAATATTCTTCCTCAGTCAGAAATGCAAATCGTTGGAATTTACCTTCCTTTAAAAGGTGCGACTGCAATCAATAAGAGTTCTTTCAATTTCAGCTGAAAACATGTTTTATAATTTGGACAGAATATGATCCTGATACACAGACGCAGGTAAAAACATGTTTTAAGCAGCCAGTTATCCCACATGAGCTTTGAAGGTTTGCCCAAAATGTAGAAACTAAAATCATCAGCTGAAACGTTTCAGATTTGGTTGATCTTATCAGCTTCATTTACTCACAAACACATGGATGGACTGGCTGAGTGACTCTGAACAGGAGCAGCTCTCTGTGTAATGTGAGGTAAGCTGTACAGTCAGCACGGCCACACTGTGAACACAAGCTCTTATAACAGCTTATCGTTACCTCACTTTCATTTTTCACTCATACTCATGTTTAAAACAGCATTTTGTTACATTTTAACCACCTGAGTTCCTTTACTTTGGATATTTGTTCTATTTTGAGCTTATTTACTTTGCTTATAACAAATGTTGGGAAATACGGGAATGTCAAACAAAAGCAGAAGCATCGTTAAAGCAAATCCTCTCTTAAAATCTTTATTCTCTCTTATTATGAAATATTTTTCACCATTTTTTGTGTAAAGAGTGAAAAGCTGAACTAAACGCAGACACCCTGCAGTGAATGACACGCAGCAGTAAAACTGAATGACTAACTAAGACACAAACACTTTCATTCCCACAGCTCACAGATTCAAACGGCTCAGAACAAACCCGGAAAACAAACATGGAATATCGGAGCAGGTGGAAGAACAGCAGAGACGTCCACAGTCCAGTTTGAAGCCCGGATGCTCATAATGCACGCACTGCAAAACCAAAGCTGGCAGTTGTCACAAAAAACAAAGAGCACATGTTAGAACAAGAAGCAGGAGCCACAGCAGCTACGCACCATCCTGACTTCCTGGAGTCCAAACTGCAGAAATCCAAGTTCTGTGTCAAAGTTAGTCCCCAAAATCACACAAAACTGCGCCGAGAACCGACGACTAATCACACCTTGTAGAAGAATTCAAACGCTTAAAGCTTCCTCCTCCTCGGGCAGCACTGACTGCCTCTACCTGAGCGTGTCACGGCTCTGAGACGTGGGCTTTGCCTCCTACATCACAGACAGTGTGTGAAAAAAAACAATATTGTGAAAGCCAGCTGGAATTCTCAATCCAGTAAAAATGAGAGGGTGTGGACGAGGCTGGCGCAGAGCAGCACACCCTTCCTCATTCTAAAGCGTGCGTGTGAATGGGACGCCTGTTATCTGCTGCCGGCTTCACGAACAGATCATTTAGGTCTCAGTGTCGTGTAGAGGAACCACACGGCTGTGACGGAGGAGCATTTCTCTGGGAGACAAACCCATTTCAACACCCTCACTCTGCTTTCCAGCATTTCCATATTTTCACTGAGCAAACAGCAGCTGAGGCCGGCTCAGGCTCAGTTTTTCCAGTTCATATCCAAACAGAAACAAACCACGGAAAACAAAGTGGAAGTGCAGCTACTTTACCTACTTTAAGGGCCTGAAATCCAGAGCGTGTCGAAACCCGGAGGGATTACTCTCCTTCCACCTTTGCCCGCCATGTATTAGTCCACCAACCGCTGCCCTTCTGTTTACCCAAAGCAGGGACAAATGTCAGGTAGGTGGGGACTAAGCTCCATATCAGTGTGAATTATGCCCCACGTCCTTATCTCTTAGACTGTAATAAAAACACGCGGGAAAGATAACGGAGATCAAAATGAAAGAGCGCAAGACGCCTGAGCTTCAGCTTTTACACACGAGCTAATTAAAGCTTCTTATAGTTAGAAATGAACTGCAATCGTTTCACACACTACATATGAAAAGCCTTATAAATATACATTATACTGTATATTAATGAAGGCATTTATTTTATATGAATCTTATGCATTTAACCCAACGTCATTTATTTACTGAGGGCTTTTATTGTTAGTAATTTTGGCATTTTATGTCCCCCATAGGTTTTGGTCCTCCCACAGACACAAATAGCACAGGAGGACGGGTTTGGCAGGTTTCTGTTTATGGGAAGTAGCTCCGGGCCAATAGGATCCAACAGGATTATATGCATGTCATTTTAAAGGAGAAGCACATTGTTACAGTAACTGTTTTTAAAAACTATGTCCACAAACAACATTCTTCATATTCTTTAAATCTGTAATAAAATATTTGTCCGGACTGACATCAGGAAAATGATCTATGGAGGAACAAAGTCCCAAATGAACGAATGTGTCATTAAACGCAACAACACCTAATAAGTCACAATCAGAGCTGAGTAATATCTGCATTTATTTGATGATTTTAGCATTTTTGGTCTTCCACAGTAATGAACACACATCCAACTGTGTTTTTGTCACTTCCTGTTTGACTCTATACGACTTGAAAGCAGCTGAGAACATGAAGTCATCAGTTTACTGAGCGCAGAGATCAGAGGGTGTAACACCAGGTCAGATTAATGGCGTCAAGGTTAAACTCAGAGTTGCTACCTGACTTAATCACCATGGTAACTGATACTGAACACATCACTAAGTCGGGAGCAGGCTATGATCAGGATTTTAAAATTGGACTTCCACAGATTCTTTT